TTCCATTGCAACAACTGCTATAAAATACTAATAGTACATCAGTACAATTATACAACGCATAATTTGTAAAATGTACAATCGGGCAGCAGTTTTTACTTCGTTTAATGTCTCTTAAACATCATGTCGTGTGTGCGTGGGTGGGTGGGTGCGTGCGTGCGTATGTGTGTATTTTGATATTTAAGAGGAAGAACTTTCTCGATATATTAAAACTACTAGATCGTGTTTATTTTATCCATGATTTTTTCATTAACACAGATGAGACAGTGGCATTATTAAGAAAAACTTGGTGTATATGACACTTTCCATAATATTTGGTTACATTTTTAATTAGTACCTATACATTTATTTGGGTACATTGTTATAAATAATAATTTGTAAAAATATGAAGCCATGTGAAAATTATCCTACAAAAAAACGCTCTTGTATATCTATATTATTTTGTTTATAAATCATACAAAAGCTAGCTACTTACCAAAGAAGAGCAAGTGGACTTAAGGGAAAGTGACATATAGGGTGGTTAAAACTAAAAATAATAAATGATTAAAACTGTAGCAATACATTACTTTTTAACGGTTTGGAAATTACAATGACATCGTGTTTTATTTCACTATTAAAATCATTAGGAGAAACAAACATTTAATTTATATAAAAAAACACTATAAGACAGCGGATATATGTTTTAATATAATATGGTACAAATACATGATTATGGTCATATTAAATGCACACATTTAAGAAGTTCTTTTTTTATTTTTCTAAAAATTCCATTGTTCATAACAAACTGCGAACCCTCTTTTCTGTTACACCTTATTAAAAGAAACTTGACGTTTTTCCTTTTAATCTAACTCATACAGTGTTACAAATCACTCGGTTTGGAGATATGTCTTATTGCGTACTTCTCAAACCTGTGCTAGGGAGCATGAGGGATGTAGCATTTTTAGATTATCCCTGATGTACAGATTCAATCAAACCAAGGCTGCAATGTTCATGTATTTTTGTTTTGATCAATGCTTCCGAGGGATCACCCTTTTCTCTGATTTATTTTAGTCATATCAGCTTAACAAAATATATTATATAGATGCTTGCGCTTGAGAAAACTTAAAAGATAAATAAGCAAATTGATTTGCTCTCCCGTCAATTTGAAACGTGAAATAATCTTGTCTTTTGAATAAATATGTCCGTGTTCTAGCATAAAACAATTTGCAAAGAAAATTGTCTTTACGTTAAACGTTATTTAGCAAATACTTTGATTCGATATGTAGGTAGTAATAATGTCAAATATAAAATTAAGTATGGAATTCTTTAAGACGAATTCTTGGCTGTATTTGCTATTTTTACAAATCACAAAATTAAAAAGAATTTTTCTGTAGAAAGCATTTCATTTTTTTAACATGATTTTTTTTTTAAAAATTGTTATATCTTTTAAGTATCAATATTTTCATCTTTGTTATTTTTAGTTGAAAGACCTCTTTCTAGAATCGACCGTAATAAACGATATAAAAATAACAAATTGAAGCAACATTTGAAATCTTAAGGGCAGTTAATTCCTGAAATATAGATGCCAGATGTATTGAGATGCGTATAATGACGTAGGAACAATTGTATCAAGTCTGAAATAAATCTTGTTTATAATAAACAAGTCCCTATATGAATCTAAAGGAATATTGAAAATAACATATTTGAAGAACAAATTAAAGTTCAAAACAGAAATCATTATAAACTTATTTAAGATTATAGTTTAAATGAGTAATCATTTTAAAGTTATTCAAATTTAAAGTTCAAAAGAGAAATCATTTTAAACTTATTTAGAGTTATGAACCTTGCCACATATGATTTGATATTTGCCAAGAAACAAATACTTTAAGTTCATCGCTAATATAACAAAGACGGGGACACTAACAAATTGAAACAATAATTTCACTCAAATGACAGTTAATTTTAAAGTAGAGATATAGTACTAGAGTAATAGTCTTGTCATATGATATGCGAGCTATAAAAAGGAACAACTTTCTTATATATGGGACTGTATCTTATCAATTAGAAAGAAAAACCTCTAAAACCTCTAAAAAGTGAAAGAAACTCATTGTAAACCCGTTTCTTCAAGTGCAAAAGAGAGATTATTTTCAAAGTAATCGTGCTATAAATCTCTTCATATATTGTGTTAGTTGTGCCAAAGAGCAATAATGTTAACTACACCACGTAAATAGCACAACAATTTTTTATGAAGCAAAGTCATAATTAAGATCATTCTAGCATAGAAGTATAGATGTTACATTTATAAGATTTTAGTGATGTAAAGCAATAATTATCTTGAGTCATACGTAAATACCGTGAATAACAAAGAAAAACCAAGAACCTGATTTGGTAACCACATATGCTCTCGGCCCCGATTCTTGTCCTATACACATTAGCCAAAAAAGTTAACCCGTTATTCAGTTATGGGAGAAAAACTTAACAGAACGGTTAATACAGTTTGCATGACGTCTTTGTCAGTCATTAACACAAAACTCAACTTGCCTGCCAAATTGAATAAAGGTTAATCTAATGTAAAAAGCGCAAGAGCATGACTTTGAGCCAGTGACCCCAAATTCTAACCTACCTAAGTTATAGGATCTTGAAAAATATTTTCCTGCCAAATAAGGAAAATGTCAATAAACAATGCTTCATGGACTTGGTACTTAATGTAGTCTTACTATAATGCTTTCCCGCCAAAGAAATTCTAACATCGGCCAATATCGAAGCAAATCGGTTATTTCCGGAACTTTATTTTTTTCAAAATCTTGGGTAAAAGATTTTTTGCAATCACTCATCCTTTATCGATATGCACTTAATTCCGATTATAAACGGTTTTAAATTATTGCATACCGATTTTTTGGGAAAATAATGTTCCAGAAATGTCCTTATTTTTACGAAAGAGGCTGATGCTACAAATTTTTGGGCGGAAAGCATTACAGTATGACTACCTTTAGGACGAAATGAAACTCGGTCGCCTCATTCTTGTTACAACATTTACAAATAAGATATATTGTTGACACATTAAGATATCTATCAACCCATTTGAAGGACATTATAGTCTTTCTAGTGCATTTCTGAATTTTCTAAAATGTTACCTTAATAACATACATGTACGAGTTCAGTTTACAAATATTTTGCAATATACCGTGTCAATACTGCACTTACGAACTTTCGCTATACGTATATGCAGTATTTCGATAGAGCGGAAGTCAGTGCGCGAGCATGCGCTTTGCCATATCTCGTTCATTTACCGCTCACGTTTTAAACTCGGTTGCTATGAAGCGACACTAAGTGTACATGGCTTTTACAACTAAAATATCAGACAAACACATAAAAACAATACACATAAACTACACATAGTTGTTTTCCATATTAATAACTGATAGTAAAACAAATATCTCAATATTCTTACCGATTTAATGTATTGTTTACATGTGATGACAGCAACGCTGTGTGTTAGATTACTTTCGGTTCAGAAAATTCATTTGTTTACCATCAAAACTCATATTTTTACCATAGGAACCATATATAGATAGAAAGCAAATGAAACAAAGGTAAAGAAAAAATTGTCCGTTTCTGAACAAAAAATCGAATAAATAAATACAAAGTCTTTTTAAAAGGTCCCTTCTTTAAGTTCATTTGAAATGGGAATAATTTGGTGGAATTTTAGACAGGGAAACAGGGAGTTATCTTTCATGGCTAGGGAATATGGCCGACTGAAATCATGCAAGCAAGTTTGTAAGTGTACTGTCTATACTGGTTCTCAAGATTTCGAGCAAAAGTACGGTAGTTAACTGATCAATTTACATCAATTCCGAAATAATAGCAATCTTATATCTGTAACCCAGTTCACAATACCATTTTCATCTTGCAGTTACTGTCACAGCATGTCATAAATTTGTCAGATGAGTATCTTTTGTTCCGTTGTACAATCCCGGAGCTATTACTTCAGAGATCATCTTTAAATCGATGAAAAAATATATCAAAAATCGTCCACAGTCACCATTGCAACCACCGCTGCAGTTACCGGCCTTTGTGAAATACACGTGTACTCAGGAAAGGAAAGTGCATTATGCTGTTCAATAGTATTTGATTTATTGGTAATTCTAAACAACTATAAATGGCGGAATTATATCCAAATATTACAATCTAAGGAGATAATAAATAATTTTGTCAAGAAAGAATACAATATAATTCAAAACAAAAGCAAAATATCCCCATCCGATCAACATAATAATAATTTTAATTGTGGAACCGGAAGTGAATAGTCTATGTCTCGAGTATAGAACCAGGCAAACATGCGCATATTTGCAGTCTGACAAGGTTCAATACTGCTTGTTCAATTTTTAGTATTTTGATATAGAAATCTACGGAAGCGCCATGGCGCAAATTTAACATGCTCTATCATAAATGATAACTCCTACAAAGGAGATAAAAAAAGCCTAATAATGAGTTTATAACACTTAACACATAAAGGAGATATTTACTACTCCTTATTAGGCTTTTCATCTCCTACATAAGAGTTATAAAGCCCTGCGTAGGAGTTATAAAGTTCTTATATCTCCTACGTAGGATTTTTATAGAACATGTTAAATTGGCACCATGACGCTTCCGTAGAAACCCCTCTTAGCAGACTATTCATAAATAAACCAGGCCAAATCCATTCTAAACACAAATCACACATAATAATGTCAAATGTCAATCTTTTAGTGCTAAATAATTTCATTTACAGCAATTAAATAATCGAAAAGACGTAAAAGGACAGACTGGTTTTATTTGCGTTAATCAGAAGATGACATCGCGTCTTTTTATCTCTACCGACCTTACTTACACTTCCTAATTGCTGATCCTTTTTAAATTTAATATAATCATCCATACTACGGAGTTAAAAGATAGTTTTGTAAATTGGTAAGCTTTGATATATAGTCACACCAACCTTTTATTAACACTTATCATTGAGCTTTCCTTCTACACCTCTTCCGCATGAGATGTGACGTCACAGCATTAGATAAGACAAAATGAATTAATAATCATTTAAGACCCAAATACTTAACCAGACAGCTGCTTATCAAAGTGAGTAAAAAAATGTTTTAATATTAATAATGTGGTCGGAAAATGTTTGGTAAAATTACATCATGTTCATTTTTGTCAATGATTCTAAGATTTAAATATTTCCCATTTCTCCTATAAAATATGAATCTACATGAATAATGACCAACAGTAGATATACTGTATACTAAGTGTTGGTTAATTTTCGTCAGTCTTGAAAAAAATTTAATTTCAATAATATTGACTTAACTTATTCTTACCTATATCTAGGGAGCGTCCGTGGCCGAGTGGTTAAGGTCGTTGACTTCAAACCACTTGCCCCTCATAGCTGTGGGTTCGAATCCCGACAGGGACTTTGGATTTTTTCACGTGAGGAAGCTATCCAGGTAGCTTACGGAACTTCGGTAGTAATATTCAGGTGCCCGTTCATGCCTGAAATAATGCACGAAAGGGCACCTGGGGTCTTCCTCCAACGGTAAAGCGAAAGTCGCCATATGACCTTTACTGTGTCGGTGTCACTTAAACCTCAATCAAACAAACAAACTTATCTATAACTATATAGATTCACTTTAAACAGTGCAAATTTGATACGTTGATAAGTGTTTGAAATTACATTTTGTTCAATAGATCATTCCGTTTTTCGAATTCTTTGGTACATTTAATCAACAGTAAATTGTCATAAAATACTATCCCGTAAAGTCAGTGTATCACACTTTGCACGCTGTAAAGATTCAAAACATAATTTCAACCACTTAGTAGTAAAGTGTTTGTTTAGGTAAACAATAATGCGTCGCTCTTGTCAGATTTATTTACATTAATGCTGTCTAACAAAATCTAAACTTATACTAAATGTACCGAAGAATTTCAAAACATGGAACGATTTTATTGGACTAAATGTAATTTCAACCACTTAAGCTAAAATTACACTTTCAGACCAGAAAGATGCTGTTCAAATGTTTTATGGTCGTATTAATTCTACTGCAGAGCTCTTTGTTAGGTAAGTAAAAAATGTGTTCAATATATTTATACCCCCGCCTATATTTATTGTGATAGTAAGTGCCATATAACCGCCGCCTACATAACTCAATATCAAACATTTACCTATACCGATAAGTCGCGTGCGATACAATGGCGTCATTAAAACGCATTTTATGAGTGAACAGCGTTAACTGACGTCAATTTTGCGTATGAAAAAGAATGATAATGTGTGCCTATGATGACGTAATTTCAGCGTTATGAATGAAGTTGTGATTATATATATACGCTGTTTCAAGAAAATAGTTGCGGATAAAATAACATAAATTACCGTAGAAACACGTTTTATTCAGGTAAATATTTCAAATATGATATTGTAGAATATGCAATAAAAATATCTGATAAAGGTTTATGTTCGGATCAGAATATCCGTCCCTTGGAAACTCGCATAAGGGCGGCAATTCAGCAAACCTACAGCCTAATGGGCGTGTCCACTTGAGACGGATATTCCAATCCAAACCGCGACATTTAACAGATTAATTAATTATGACATTTCCGGCTAAAGTAACACTAACATTGGCTAAAGACTCCAGTCTAATATTTAAGAACATAATTATTATTCATCTTAATTAAATAGAAAAAGAACCTTTTAAAATAAAGCTATAAAACTATAGCACAATCATTGCAAAGCAACACGTTCTGTGAGGTAGAGGTTTATTCTAGTATTGAAAGGTAATTTTTTAAGAGAAGTTGAAATCATTGTAATAGAAGTGATGCTGTTGATGTAGAAATTCAATTGCTCTACCGACGATGAAGCACTATAAATGCACATGCCGAAATGATGACCTAAATTTAAAAGCGTTTGTTACATTTTTGTTTAGTCTTATTTGGGACGATTGAAAATAGTGCATAGAATTTATTTCAACTTTGCATGATCTAATAAAGTGATAACAATCATTTCAATCGAAGAAATTTGGGTCTTGTCTTTGAGAGTAATGTAATGACGGCAAATGAGGCCTTTATTTTCGGGGAGAAGGTCGGGTTTATGTCTAGGTCACAAATAAAACGGGCGCCGTCCGATTAAACGATTTTTATAAAATCGGCAGATTTTTTGATGTCGTGGACGCCGGGCGATTTTAAATCTGATACCTTGCGTGGTCATGAATGAAACAGTCGTCGGGCGATTTTTGCCGAGTAGATTTTACAGAAAAAATTGAACGGATCAGGCGGTCGCCGCCCGATGTCCGTACGGTGCCTGTACGATTTAAAAGTGAATCGGATGGTTGCCGCGCGGGCGCCGGGCGACAATGACTTTACATTTAATGACATCCTAGATAAATCAGCTAGTTGTAATTATGCCAGCAAAGAAGTCAGCTGCCAAAGCCAAGGGGAAGGTCAAGGAGTTGGTCCGTGTTGTTGACAGCGAGTCACCAACGACCAGTATCGAGGCCGTAGAAGGCGAAAATCAATCAGACATTCGCATGGACATTGAAGAAAAATTAATGTATACTAGTATTCAAAAGAAATTCACAAATATATTTTTGAGGCAATTACAACTTCTTCAAGCTGAAATTACAACAAACACAAGCAGCCCGGTCGCCGGATGATAAAACGATGACCGCCCGGTGCCTGTACATGAATCGTCCGGGTACCGGGCGATAATCGTTTGACTACTTGTCTCTATTCAGGCACCGGGCGGGGCCCGGCCGATGTCCGCCCGGGCGCCTTTTAAATCGGACGCTTTTTTAGTAGAACAAAAAATCGCCCGATCAAAAAAATCATCGCCCGGTCGCCACCCGGCGACCGAACGATGTCCGCTCGATGATATTTATACTCAGTGACCCCAAAAATTATCGTCCGGCCGCCGTTAGCTTTTAAGTATAACTTAAAACTCGAAGGCGCCCGCCCGATGAGCACAATTTTCAGCTGCTGCCGTCCGATAGTCACTGCCGCCGGACGGACGCCGGCCGATATTGCGATTTTTTGGAGAAACAGACGCCGCCCGGCGGCATTTTCTTATTTGTGACCTAGGTACGGAGCTAACTGTCTTTTAAGTCATAGGCCAAAATTTCAAGAATTGGTAATGAGCGGTTTATTCTTAACATATACCAAATGTCCTTAAAGATATACTATGCTCAAATTTGATATCAGAAAATATTGATAATTGCTACATAGTCTCTTTGTAAATAAAAATTAACATGTTTTGACTTTACACAAAGTGGATATGCTGTATTTAAAACTCTACACACTATAGGTCGTCACAATATTAATATATAACTGGCGGTTTTTTTTTTTTAAGAAAAGACCATCTTTACTTGTCCTATAATCAAAAATGAAATATCCAATGCATAGTTTTATTCATTATGCCCCCACAGAGTGGGAGCATATAGCGTTGCACTTGTCCGTCCGAGTGTCCGTACGTCTGTCCGTCCGTCCGTCCGTCTCTCCGTCCGTCTGTCCGTACGTCCCGAAATCTTGTGAACGCAACTCCTCTTAAACCGGATGGCAGATTTTGCTTAAACTTCCAGTGATAAACAACCTTAATGTGTAGATGGTAGTAAAGGAAGGAATTTTTGCTGCGACCAAATTTAACAGAATTATGGCCCTTTGTTGATTTTTTCACTATATACTATGTAGAAATTTTGTGAATGCAACTCCTCTTAAACCGGATGGCAGATTTTGCTTAAAATTCCAGGGATGAACAACCTTAATGTGCAGATGGCAGTAAAGGAAGGAATTTTTGCTGCGACCAAATTTAACAGAATTATGGCCCTTTGTTGATTTTTTCACTATATACTATGTAGAAATTTTGAGAACGCAACTCCTCTTAAACCGGATGGCAGATTTGCTTAAACTTCCAGGGATGAACAACCTTAATGTGTAGATGGCAGATAAGGGAGGAATTTTTGCTGCGACCAAATTTAACAGAATTATGGCCCTTTGTTGATTTTTTTTCACTATTTACTATGTAGAAATTTTGTGAACGCAACTCCTCTTAAACCGGATGGCAGATTTTGCTTAAACTTCCAGGGATGAACAACCTTAATGTGTAGATGGTAGTAAAAGAAGGAATTTTTGCTGCGACCAAATTTAACAGAATTATGGCCCTTTGTTGATTTTTTTACATTATACTACATGTATGTAGAAATTTTGTGAATGCAACTCCTCTAAAACCGGATGGCAGATTTTGCATAAACTTCCAGGAATGAACAACCTTAATGTGTAGATGGTAGTAAAGGAAGGAATTTTTGCTGCAACCAAATTTAACAGAATTTTGGCCCTTTGTTGATTTTTAGTTTTCAACTTGTGGCACATGTAGTCCAAACAATATTTGACCTAGAGTCATAAGATTGACAGAACAGTGGCGTGTGGGGGCATCCGTGTCCTATGGACACATTTCTAGTTTTTTATTTAAATTAGATATATTCAGTAGGAATTTTATAGGTTTTAATAAATTTCTTCGATGAAAATATTTTACTCAAAGATGAGCATAGCACATCTTTAAAACACAGCATACTATATGTTTTAAGAAGGGCCCATTCTCTTTTAATTGAAAGTGTATCAAAAATGTAAATTGGAATAACATGAAATTCTATATTGTGATTAAGAGTAAAACAAAAACATACACCAAATGTAAAAATAAAATTAAAAAGACTGATATATTTTAAGTAATCTGCCTTGAAATTACCTTAAAAGTTTAATAAGCACAACAAAATTATAAAAAAAAACACCAGAGAGATGAATAAATATGATCGTTGAAAGATTGTTATGTTCACAAATTTAAGTTTCCTTCTTTTTTCACAGGAAGTGGCTCAAAAAAGGCTTTTACATTGAAACCACCGCCCACAAAGCTACGTACGTACTTAGACTCTAGTTATTTTTAAATGTAAATCGTCGTGATAGTGCCAGTCAAAATTATCTGAGTGTTGAAAATGAAATATAATTTAAACGATGCACTGTCTCAAATCGGTACGGAAAAATGTGTTTGTATTTCAAACAAGAACGTGTTTGTTAAACACAAATACCCACGGCTCAGATTCTTGTCAGTAGCAATATTTCAAAAAATGTTTACCCATTCACTCAGTTATGGACAGAAAAATTGCCAAAAAATTGTAAACGCAAGTTATATAGCTTGACAAAGTCATGGCATTTTGTAATTGTGAAAAATATAAGTTGCCAAGTCATTGCTCTGACTTGTGAAGTTGAAAAATATTCAACTTCATGCAAGTTATCTTCCTACCAAATATGACATACATCTGTCATTAAATAAAGGCTGTATAGGGCAAAAGTGTAAAAATCTATTTTGAGCACTTGTGACCTTGACCAAACTGACCCCTAACTCTATCCAAAAGAAGAATACCATGTAAGTTATCTTCCTACCAAATAAGAAATACATCTGTCAATAAATAAAGGCTGTATAGGCAAAAGTGTAAAAATCTACTTTTTAGCACTGGTGACCTTGACCCAACTGAACCCTTACTCCATCCAAAGGAAGCATACCATGCAAGTTATCTTCCTACCAAATATGAAATACATCTGTCAATAAATAAAACTGTATGGGCAAAAGTGTAAAAATCTATTTTTAGCACAAGTGACATTGACCCACTGATCCCTACCCCAATCAAAAGGATGAATACCATGCAAGTTATCTTCCTACCAAATATAAAATAAATCTGTCACTTAATAAAGGCTGTATGAGCAAATGTGTAAAAATCTACTTTTAGCACTGGTGACCTTGACCCAACTGACCACTAACTCCATCAAAGTTTATGTTTCTATCAATTATAAATAATGTCGAAGGACCTCCCTTGGCATGTTTGTATTAAACTAAGACATAAAGTCTAAAAAATAAAGGCTGTATGAGCAAAAATGTTTATATTTATTTTTTAAACCAGTGACCTTGACCCTAGAGACCGCTTACTCCACAAAAAAATTAGTGGACCATAAAAGATATCCACCTACTAAATATGAAAGATATCATTAAAGAAATTAAGCAATTAGGAGAAATTTAAAATAAATCCAACTTGCTGAAATAGGTTAACCAGACAAGGCCCTATTTTCAAAGTGAAAAAGGGAAATAACTGGGAAATATGGATGACACAGTTATATAACTTGGCAATATCATGTACTTTGTATTGATAAGTAAGTGTGGAAATTATAGAGCCATTAGTATAGATAGAACTTAAGATATTTCCAACTTACCGTTTTAGGTTAACCATTATTCATTTTGTAAGTGCTGAAAAGAGCAATAACTTGGTAAATATGAAAGCCAGAGTTATGTTACTTGCTCAGATCATGTACTTTGTATTGATTAGTAAGTGTGTAAACTTAGAAGCCATTGGTACAGGTAGAACTGAAGAAAAATCCAACTTGCCGTTCTAGGTTAACCTCGTACGGACAGACGAACGGACGGACGGTTCAATTACTATTTGCCCGGGGGCATAAAAATCAAGGTGCACGTTCAATAATTAAATTCATCTTAGTCCATTATGCAATGATATTATTTGTTGTCATTTAGCAACCCACGGATGCGGCATACCTGTTGTTCAACCAATTACCAGTCGTGTTGTAGGCGGGACACCTGCTAGACCCGGATCATGGCCATGGATGGTAAAAACGTTGTCGTTTTACAACCATTTGTCTATAAAAGCTTCAAACACGTGCAGTATTGACAAAACAAATATAAGTCAATTTATAGGCGTATGCTAGGCATAACAAAGAGATATTGGGTTGCCGACATCGTTTCCTTAAACGTTTTCATTTCGCTATATATAGTATGTCTACAAGTAACACCAGCATACGCCTTTTAATATAATATATAAAACCCTCTGTGAATAAATTTTTCTCAATCATGAGCAAGCTGTAAACAAGAATATCACGTTTTACATTTATTTAAGATAAAGCAAATTGGGAAACTGTCCTGTAATAAGCTGATCCTTGATTTGCTGTAACACTTAGTTTTGTTAATTGCCACATAACTACCTAGCTTTTATTATTGTTTTATATATCACCCTCAGGCGGATCTAATAATGTTGTATTAACTCTTACACTATACATGATCTTATATTACCCATCCTTAATTTATGTTCTACAACAAAAAGGTATAATTTTATTTCTTAGACCTGTATCAACATATTTTTGTCAAGAAATAAGTATTCTGTTGTTTTTTATTAATATTTCAAACACTCATCGTTCGAAAATGAGCAAATTGCAGATCAATCCATTTAAATAAGATAAAATAGTTTTTTTGACAAATTGTAAATAATTGCTTCTTGGCAGGTCCTTATCGCTGATGACCTAGGATTCGTTACAGGCTCAGGTGTGTTATTACATCCAAATGTGATTCTGACTTCGGCTCAAAACTTTGAAGGGTATGATCTATTCTTTATCATTTTGAATGTTTTATTATCTTTTACAATTTATGAAAGTAATAATAGCATTATCAAAAGTATTGTGCATTTTTTTGTTTCTTTTGTTTGTTTGTTTGTACCACCCAGTTTGATCGTATAAGAGAACAAACATTACGTAAAGATCATTATATTATTTAAAACAAAGCCTCTGAAATCCTCATCTAGATGTTTACTTTTGAAAGTAAAAAAAAAATATTTTTTAGACCAAATTACACCCTAAATGATCTTAACCTGGAGTACTGGAGAATATACGCTGGAGAGTATAACAAAGCAACTACGGACCCCCACGAACAGTTTTACGGAATCAGTCGGGTTATCATACATCCTTCATACAACGCCACATCCTTGTATTGTGACGTTGCCCTTATTATTACATCACAACCAATTATGTAAGTGTTAATTTTTGTATTTGTACATAGACAATTATAACAAATTCTTTAATTTTAAGGCAACGTGTTCAGTTAGATTTATGGATCAAGATCAGGATCGAATTTAAAAACTTCAATATTCTTCAAATATTAAATATTTGATAATAACTTGGACTTGAGAAAGCATGTTTATGAATTTTAAGATTACATTTATTGTTAATTATAAGATATGGGCATTTTCTACTGTATTTAAATCTTGATTTTGATCCTAAAATTGATCCTTTTATTTTGATTAAATTATATTTGTATTTGATTTATTTGTGTTTTATCCCAAAATAGGGTTATGTATTATTAAGTGATCATCTGGTCCGTGCTGTGCCTTGTGATCTGGCCTGCTTTTGCTTGAGGTCCTCCTGGGCTCCTTGTTGTTGGATCGTGTAGGGGTTGCGTTCATTGTGCGCCACCTTTCCTTGTTGGTCGTGTTTACCATATTTGTTTCCTTGCAAATCAGAACGTTTTACATTTTTATTAAATTCTAGCAAAATACGACAAATTCTAGTTACACAGAACAATGACAATTATTACCTTATCATGATCTTTTCTTAGTGAACAATTTTTCAGACCACCAGCTCATTTCATAATTAACATAAAACAGACGATTCTCAACTTTCTTAAGCACTAACCGTTTAAGTGTAATTATCTGATTACCGTCGAACAAATGATTTTGATGTCAGTTTTATGTTTCGACAAATTTAACATTCTTTACTTTACTTTACTCCTCACACCAGTTTGATGACAATTGATTAAAAAATGGGACCACAAGAGCGTAAACAAGGTTTTGCCATTTTGGGGCAGTGTGACCTAGATTTTGATCCAAAAGGACACATATTCAAACTTGACATAGAAATCATCAAAACAAACTTGCAAACCAATTTCCAGGATATTTGGATCAAAAAAGTAGTCATTTGAGTGTTAATTACATTTTTCTATTTTTTAGCTCATGTGAACTAGTTTTTCATCTGAGATGACTCATGTTCGAACTTATCCGATCAATAATTTAGAAAAGCATCCTGACAAAGTCTGATGACAATTGAAGCAAAAATGTGATCACCAGAGTGTTAATAAGGTTTTTTTCATATTTGGGCGGTGTGACCTGATTTTTGATCCCAGGTGACCCATATTCAAACTTGACGAAAGAAATTATAAAAAAAATTTCAGACAAATTTCCAGGATATGGATCAAAACCGAAGCCACTAGTGTTAACAATATTTTTCTATTTATAGCTCCTGTGACCTAGTTTTTCATACGAGATAACCCATGTTCGAAGTCATCCAAGCAATTATCTAGACTAACATATCAATAAAATTTGATGACAATTGAGTCAAAAATGTGACCACAAGTGTAAACAAGGTTTTTTTCATATTAGAGCGGTGTGACCTAGTATTTGACCCCAGGTGACCCATATTCGAACTTGACCTAGAAATCATAAAATCATAATTGCAAACCAAGTTCAAGGTTATTTGGATCAAAACAGAAGCCACAAGAGTGTTGACAAGATTTTTCTATTTTTAGCTCCTGTGACCTAGTTTTTCATCTGAGATGACCCATGTTCAAACTCATCCGAGTAATTACCTAGACAAGCATCCTGACAAAGTTTGATGATGAATGAGGCAATGTAACCACTAGTGTTAACGAACAAATATGGACGGACGACAGACGATGGACGATGTCTGACGGACATTCAACGGTCCTAAAAGCTCACCCTGACCTAGCTCAGACGAGATAAAAAACAAACATGGTTCGCGTGACCACGTGGTGATAAAACATCTTGCATTTTGGCTGGGGGAATCTAAAACATTGCTGAATCAATCTTTGAAAAGTTAAAAATAATTAAATCATTTTATAATAGTGAGGGAACCTTTGGTGCTTAGTAAAGGTTAGTAGTATACAATAACATACTATAAAATATTTGATCACATATATACAGGCTAGGGGCCCTGCGAGTCCGAATCCCTCTAGGGACTTTGGCTTCTTTCATATGAGGAAGCTATCAAACTAGCCAAATAACGCATGGAGAGCCACCTGAGGTCTTCCTCTTTCAGTAGAGCTATAATGTCGCCATATGACCTATACTGTGATGGTCCGACGTAAAACCCAACTAAAAAATTATTTAAAAAAAAAACAAGAATAAAGATCAACAAGTCAAAGGCTACGTTCACAGGACGCAGCCTCCGACACACCCAAGTAGGGCACCCATAAGACACCCAACAAAAACCTGGAGTGGACGTAAGGGCGGCGAGAGGAGAGGGACATGTAATGTGTGAAATAATATAATCTAAAACGGGACCATATGGTAAGCAAAGGGATAAGAGCTGTAAGGGTGAAAAGGGAATGGGATAAAACAATGGGAGAGGGAAGGGGTAAACAATGAATGGAGGTGAGAAAACACCTACCGTAAACGACAATCCAACAAGGCAGACATCACAAAACATGTAAACATTCAAAAACAAGTAACAATACAGACATGAAAAACATAAAGGTAAACATTTTCATAAATCAAGATATACAAATACATACAACTCATAAACCTTTTTTTACTTTTTTGACACAATAATACAAAGTATTATTCGAAACACAAGAAAAAATCAAAAACAATTCTACGTATCAAACCAATCATCATAAAAATGTATTTCAGGAATCATGCAAATTACAAACACTTTGAATTCCTGAAATTGTTTAAATTAGTTCTCAAATGACATGCGTCACCTTCTATATGCTCAAGTTCATGTCTTCCAATCTGAATTGCTATAAAAATATAAGTTCATTTACTTACCAAGATGCTTATTTCGGCCAAAGAATTGCACACTTCTGCCTTTTGTATATCGGGCGTAATTTTAAAATTCCCGGGTTCCACAGTGATTAAGATAAATTTACACAATACCTACTTACTTTACAACCAATTCGTTGCTTACGAGTGTTGTCATTACCAGTGACACCATGTGACGTCTTTTTTTCTTTATATGCTCCACGAAGGGTGAGCATATAGTTGCCGCTTTGTCCGTCCGTCCGCTTTTCTTGTCCGGGACATAACTTTTAAACAACAAGAGGTATCAACATGAAACTTTGTTGGTAGGTAGATCTCATTGAGTAGGTGTGCATTGCACAAGAACCGTAACTCTGCCTTGCCTTGTACTTGAATTATTACCCTTTGTTTATGTTTACATTTTGAACTTTGAACTATTTGTGATATCAACATGAAACTTTGAATGTAGATAGATCTAAATGAATATCAGTCTTGTCTACTTTTGGAGTAATTGCCCTTTGTTTATTTTTATACTTTGAACTTTGTCCGGGAAATAACTCTAAAAGTATAAGAGATATCAACATTACACTTTGTAGGTAGATAAATCTCATTGAGTAGAAGTGCATTGTTAAAAAACCATTACTCTTGTCTTGCCTAATTTTTGAGTTATTGCCGTTTGTTCATTTTGACACTTTGAACTTTGTTCGGGGCATTACTCTAACATTATAAGAGATATCAACATGAAACTTTGTAGGTAGATAGGTGTTATTAGGTAGAAAAAAACAGTCCTAATAAAAAAAACAGTCCTAAAGAACAATAACTTTGCCTTGCCTTATTTTGAAGTTATTGCCCTTTGTTTATTTTTACTTTTTGACTTTTGTCCGGGATAAAACTATCTGAGATATCAACATGAAACTTTGAATGTAGATAGAATAACAGTCTTGTCTAATTTTGGAGTAATTGCCCTTTGTTCATTTTTACACTTTGAATTTTCCCCGGGACATAACTCTGAAACTATAAGAGATATCATCAAGAAACATTATGGATTGATAGATCTCATTGAATAGAAGTGCAGTGCAAAAGCCATAACTCTGCCTTGCCTTATTTTGGAGTTTTTGCCCTTTGTTCATTTTGTTTATACTTTCCTGTGTCCAAAACCTTCTCGAGGAGCATCACCCTGTTTAACCGGTTCTTGTTTTAGCATGATGGCAAGCAGAAATAGTAATTAACCGTTCCATTCGACACTTCCAATTTAAGTACGTTCTTTATTAAATATACCCAAATTAAGCTACGGGAAAAGTTTTTTATTACTACCGTATCTTTGTTGGGACAAAGTCAAGGTCATATGGTGACTTTCTAGTTTTACTCCCATGGTGGAAGAAGACCTTGGGTACCCCTGTGTGATACGACATTATAACAAGCACAGTATAATCATAAATTAGTGTTCTTCGTCAATAGGACGTCAAGTCACGTGGTATGGGCACACTGATAATGCATGTTGGCACTCCTATTACGTTTCTTGATTTAAAAGAACATAATTGTAGTACATTGCACTGTCATTCAGCTTAAATTAATCGTGTTATAATAAGAAAATGGGGGATCCTAACAACATGTTGGTACTTCCAGCAAGCTTGGTTTCGCAGAATACAATACCGCTCAAGCCGGTTCTAGGTTTGGGCGTGAAGTATATTGAACTTTTTCATTATCCCTTATTTACAGACTCAATCAATAGAATCTGCAATTTTGTCATTATCAAGAAATGTTGTCAGAGTGTGACCGTGCGCAATGACCAAACAAGTTAATACAATAAAAGTGACGATGAGTAAATTGTAACAGTATAAATTATACTAAAAACATTCCATATGTCAAAGTTCGTTTATACAATTTACAGTTACAACGAGCATACGAAACCAGCATGTTTGTCGAAACCCGGTCACGCTTTTGCCGTCGGTGAAGTTTGTTACGTGGCTGGATGGGGTAGTACTCGAGGTAAAGTGTAACGTCCTTTAATAGTTTAAAGCGGCTCTTGGTGTAAAAAATCAAAATTAGCTCGGTGCATAACTTCAGCAGTTCACGAAGTTGAAATTGTGATTTCATTAAATTTAAATTATAAATTCATGAACTTTAATTCGTAAATTCATGAAGTTTGTTGCAGGAATAGTGCATTCGTAAATGTATGTACACGTAGCTCGGCGTGTAAAATCGTGAATTCGTAAAGTTCAAAGTGCAAGTTTATGAAGTTGAAGTTTTAAATTGTCACAGCTAGCATTTCGTAATTACAAGTTTATTTCTGTATATACTTGGTTAATGCTTGTATTTTAATTCATCATTCTTATAAAGTATTAGGCAAAAATGTGCAAGATATTTACTTTGTAAGTACGAGTTCACCAAATAAGAAAATGTAAGGATGGCAAAGACTTTTAACAGGTCATTCCCATCGAATTTCTTGTTACGACGTGCGCCGTACTCACTGTTGCCGATGCAAGGATCTGTTGTCTCGTTACTCTATTTCACGGTTCATGCTTGCAATACATTTCTGTTACAGGTACAGGCAATGAGGAAATTTTAAATCAACTTCAAGTTCAAATCTTAGATGATACGATATGTGAGAAAGAATACCAAAATTTTAATAGATCTTCCACTTGGCAAATATGCGCCGGTTTTCAGAGTCAAAGAAAGGGATTGTGTGCTGTAAGTAATAAATATTATTGATATTTTTACAAATATATATGTCACTGTAAAACCGTACATTTTGGCTATTTTCTAGAATCTCTTTTGCGTTGATTTTTTCCATCAAAACTGATTTCAAAGTGCTGCAATTTCTCAACTGATTTATAATTTCTGTGATGGTTTCTGGTTGCCCTGCTGTGGTGGTTTGGGTGTGTCGGAGACGGAGACGGAGAGTTCCCTACAGCGATTAACGTATATGTCTTTCCTAGTATAAGCACGACCGATTTGAATCATGGCATTACAAAAGCTGTCAGCGAAATCATTTAATTTGATAGCCATAATAGGCTAGCCAACTGCAACAAGTGCTTGTCCGTCAATAGATTGTTCCTGGCTGATGAGGGGTGATAGAGTCTGGACAGGACCCTCCTTCTGTAATACAGTTGGCAAGTATCGACTTTATTTCCAGTCCTAAGCGTGCCATCCATTTCTGCAAGTGCAATCGATACATCTGCAGAAACGATATTAAATCGACAACGCGACCGGCTTTAAACGCGGTTAACGAACGCCGTCATTTCTTGTTGGATATTGTGTATCATATTTCAGGGCTTTGCCATTCTCCTTCTATTTTTTCTGCCTTTTTGAACGTCATACAGTGACGCAAAAGTTGGTGGATTATTCTTTTTAAGAGGAGCGTGAGCTGCTTGTCGTCTACTACCCTCAACAAACAATCTTGTAGACACGAAGTCATTAATTTCCAGCTGAGCAAGATCCTGTACATTGATCAGTGACTCTTGTATAGATTCTTTTGCAATATTTTGCATATATTTAATATGTGACTGGGGCAAAGACTTTAAAAGCGCTGCAATGTAGAAAATAATGATGTCTCATCTAGCTTATCTCGGCATTGTCTTGACTTACTGCTTTCATCTGAAAGTTTAGTAATTAATACATAGCATGCAGTATGTCTTAAATAGTAGGGTAATAACCTATTTTAATAAAATGTATAATCATTATGGGTAGTAAAAACAGCAGAAACATTACCATTACCCAAGATCTTACAAGTTTGTAAATTACAGCGCCATAAAAATCAGGCTTGTTTTTCCCTTGTCGCGGAAGTGTTTTTTAAAACACTATAAATTTTGGAATTAAATCGAAATTACGATTGTAAAATTTTGTAAAATATTTCCGTAATTTATGATAGCGGTAGTCCTGCTTAAGGAGCTTCCTAGTAATGGAAATATACTGCTCGTTGAAATCCTTGACGTTTTTACTAGCTCTAGCGAATCTTATTAACTGATGGGGTGCGTCTCCATTGAAATGTGGATAATTAACTATACAAAACGCAAAGTTATCTCTTTTTATCACAGATTGTGTGTGTATAAAATTGTTGTTGACAATAACATGAAGATCTAAAAATGATGAACTAAAATTTCAAGAGTTCATTTTATTAAGTTGTAGTTAATGTGAATCAATGTAAGACATCATTCGATGAAAATAAGGATTATCTAAATTAAAAACATCATTAAGGTATCTGAAAGGTTTATTAAATGAAACAATGCCTTTGGCGCCAAGTTGTCATTCTTTTCTTTGTCGTGAGAGGCATTGTTTTCATTGTTTTTGCAAAATTTCGTCTTTGGTTCTATATGTATTGTCCAAAAGATTGCACACTCTCGTCGCCCAGTCTTCCTCTTTCGCGCTCTTGTTCTATAGAAAAGCTTTTCACAGGTGCCCAAATGCTTATCGAGACCCTCAAGTGTAGCTTTAAATGCCGAAGATATAATTTATTATGGCTGAGAATATTGCAAAGTATTAAATTAACATTTTTGTTATTCTTCTTACAGAAGAACATGCTTTAGATTAATCCGTCAGTCCGTCCGTCGTACGTCCCGAATGCGTGTCCGACCCAACGTGTCTCGCGCAATATTTGGGTCGCTAACTTGAAGGTCAATGTCAAAGCATGACCTTAAAGAAAAATCGTTCAACAAGTACAACTATTTCACAGAAATGATCACCATTTTGAGACGACGTGTCGCGCACAACATTTGGGTCACTACCTTGAAGGTTAAAATCACAGCATGACTTTAAAGCAAAATCGTGTACGGCACATAAGTTCGTTATTTGAAGTCGGATTTAACAACTATTTCACAGAAATGATAACCAAATTGACGGGACGTGTCTCGCGCTACCTTGAAGGTCAAGGTCACAGCATGACCTTGCAGCAAAACCGGGTCTGGCCCATAACTTCGTTATTTGAAGTCAGATTTCCAACTATTTCACAGAAATGATCGACATATTGAGACGACGTGTCGCGCGCAAGTCGGCAGATAGATCTCATTGAGTAGAAGTGCAGTGCAAAAAAGAGTAATACTGCCTTGTCTTAGTTTGGAATTATCACACTTTGAACTTTGTCTGGGACATAGCTCTAAAACTACAAAAGATATAACTTCTTTTTGCTGGTCCAAAATAGTCGGGAGTATTCGCGGTAACCGAGCTTCTGTTTCATTGCCTTCTTTTTCATTCAAACCCCACTATTAAAAATATAATTTTTCTTGCATTTTAGCATATCTTTATATTGGAAATTTTTTATTTTAAGTCTAAGAAAATTTTAAATGAAAGAAATTTTACGTCCGGATATAAATTGCAAATATTGATAACGGTTATATATGAAGTATTTGCCGTACAAACTCATCGGAACTCCCAATCCAGAAAATTTTTATGAAACAAAAAGACCAACAAGAATACTTTAAGTAAAACTTCGGGTATGAGTTGGTCTTTTTTATTCTTTTTCTCAACCATTTGATGAATAGTTAAATTGAACTAAAAATGATAAATGTGAAGGTTGTATAAATTTTGATTTGAATATATTTGTTTATTTGTTTTATAGCTAGTAGCCGAAACCAATTCCAGGGAAGCTACAAGTACAAAAGTTTGTATGCGTCAAAACGTTTCTTCTCTAAAAACTGCTTGGCAGGTTTCTTTCAAAATTTGTCTTAGCATTCTTGTGACAGTCAAACTTAAGTTTACTCATGTCATTTCATTTGACCCCTTTTAGGGTAAACAGAGCTAAAAAATAGAAAAACCTTTAAACATCTTCTACTACAGAACTAATTGATGGATAATCAATATACTTTGTCTGAAGTATTTTTATGTTGTTTTTTATCAAGTTTGCTCATATTAATTTGATTGGCCCCTTTTAGGGGTCTCTAGGGCTTAAAATATAAAAACCTTTAGACATCTTCTTCTGCAGAACTAATGTTTGGATTATCACCAAACTTTGTAGTATTTTTGGTAGTCTTTTATCAAGTTTGCTCATATTAATTATACCCCCGCACAACAAAGTTGTAAGGGGGGCATATTAGAATCAGCTTGTCCGTCCGGCCATCGCCCCGTACAAACCAGAGCTTCATTATGGGGTTTGGTCTAATAACAATAGATGTATTTGATGTCATTCATTCCGTTTCTCTTGTGGGGTTATTTTCTCCATTGTGGGGTTAAAAAGAACAAAAGAAATAACAAAAGAAAACCCCATAATGTAGCTCTGGTAAGAATGTCCGTCCGGCCGTTCGTCGGTTTTTCCTTGTCCGCCTAATACTTTAAGATTCCTTTGACCCACATGCTTCATTTTTGGTATTTAGATTGGTCATGAATAGTAGATGATCCCTATTGATTTTGAAGTTACCGGGTCAAAGGTCAAGGTTACAGGGGCCTTGACTTCAAAAAGCTTGTCCGCCAAATAACTGAAGATTCCTTTGACCCACAATTTTCATATTTGGTATTTAGATTGGTCATGAATAGTAGATGATCCCTATTGATTTTGAAGTTACCGGGTCAAAGGTCAAGGTCACAGGGGCTTTGACTTAAAAAAGCTTGACGCCCAATAACTTAAGATTCCTTTGACCCACAGTTTTCATATTTGGTATTTAGATTGGTCATAATAAGTAGATGATCCCTATTGATTTTGAGGTCATTGGGTCAACGGTCACAGGGCATTGACTTCAAAAAGCTTGTCCGCCCAATAATTTAAGATTCCTGTGACCTACAGTTTTCATATTTTGTATTAAGATTGGTCATGAATAGTAGATGATCCATATTGATTTTAAGGTTACTGGGTCAAAGGTCACAGGGGTCTTGACTTCATAAGGCTTGTTCGCCCAATAACTTAAGATTCCTTTGACATACAGTCTTGATATTTGGAATTTAGATTGGTTATGATTAGTAGAGGATCCAATTAGATTTTGAGGTCACCAGGTCAAAAGTCAAGGTCACAGGGGCCTTGACTTTAAAAAGTTTGTCCGCTCAATAACTTAAGAAGATTCCTTTGCCCCACAGTATTCATAATTGGCATGGAAGTTAGCCATAATTAATAGATGATCCATTTTGATTTTGACGTCACTGGGTTAAAATAAAGGTCACAGGGGCCTTGACTAAAAAAACTCGTCTGCCAAATAAGTTAAGATTCCTTTGACCAGAAATCTTCATATTTGGCATGTAGTTAAGTCATGGTTAGTAAATGATCTTGATTGATTTTGAGGTCACTGGGTCAAAGTTCAAGGTCACAGGGACTTTGACTTCAAAACGTTTGTCTGCGCAATAACTTATGAAACTTTTGACTGACTGTCTTCATATTTGGCATGGAGGTTGATCATGACCATTAGGGGACCCCAATTGATTTTGAAGTCACTGGGTCAAAGGTCAAGGTCACAGGGACCTTGAATAAAAAAGCTTGTCCGCTCAATTGCTTAAGAATGCTTTGGTCAACAGTCTTCATATTTAGTATTGAAGTTATTTATGACTAGTAGATGACCCCTTTTGATTTTAAGGTGACTATGTCAAAAGTCAAGGTCACAGGGATTTTACTATAATAAGCTTGTCTGCTCAAATGCTTAAGAATGCCTGTCCGCAGTGTATTGATTCTAACATTTTCACATTTGAACATGTAGAATACATAACTTAGCAATGTAATGGCTAAGTAATCTCAGATTTGGCAGGGAGGTTGTCCTTGAGCTCTAAATGGCTACTGT